TAGATCTTCGATTAATATTCTTCTGGAATATTAATTATAATATTGTGTTGTTTTGGGAACAACAACAAATTTTTTGAGAATACTTATAGATCTTATGAAATTGCAAATAACTCAAATTTAAAATTGTGCTTTAAAGTAAAAAGAATCAACGAATAAATATATCAAGATTTGATTAAAATCATATAATATTAATCCACATAAAGGTATGCACAGTAAAATCACAATCATAATTGCATTGAATATTATCGAATAAAAAGATAGCTAATTATGATTAGTGAATAATTAGCATGTAATTACAATAAATAATTAGGCATAATTACTATATATACAACAACTAGAATAGAAAGATGAATATGTAATGATATTACAACAATTATGCAAGATTAAAAATTTGGCAGAAAACGAAAATTTGGTGACAGAATGAAACTCGCGGCAATATAAAACCAATTAACATGAGACACATAATGAAACTAATTAACATAAACCAGTTAATATAGACCAATATATATATATATATAAAGGATTAAGATGTTACCAAATTAATTTTGGTACACGTGATAGATGATCATGTTTAAAAAGAAATTACTATCTTTACTAAACTTTGAAAATTAAGCTTTCGTGCTGATAACGTGTTATAAAAAGAGAGAAAAAGAGAAGAGAATTAGAGAAATCAATAGACTTGTGTGTATTATAATGAGAACCAAAACCATATATTTATAGGGAAGGAATATGGATACATATGATAATAATATCTAGGACTGCAGGGGTACAAGTGTCATTCACATTAAACCCTAATTTACTTTCCTTTTACAACAAAAACTAGTAAATATGATATATAAGATTATCATGTAAACTTATAATTTGGAACTCAGCTTCAAATTTATGTGAAATATTTTCCATAAATAAAATCTAAAAATCAATAAGTTGATAAGTCAAGTCTTCATTTTTTTTTCTTTTTTGTTTTTGTTACAAAAAGCCAAAACTCTTTCCAAGCCATCAGTATCTATTGGAACTCATATTGTAATTCATTAATTTAACAAGGCATATTTATTTTCTCATATGTTTGCCGATTATTTCTTTGAGCAGTTTATCAGGAAAAAACTATCTAAATTACAAGAGAATTTCTTCGAATTAGAAAACTCCAATAGAAAAAAATTAGGAGATTTTTGTGCCCCGAAGAAACAATGAATACTAATTTCCTAAATATTAGAATATCTTAACTTGATTATCGAACCACATGATCTAAAATACTAAATTGTTAGAGGGGACAAAATACACATCATTTAAATAATATCTTCAACGTGCCCCCTTACTGTGGGCATGATCTAGTTTTCTCATTAAAACATACACTACAACAAAACTGTGATTTCGCGACATACAAAAAATTGT